CAGCTGTCAATTTTATGGATAGTAGGGTTAAGGTATTATAGTTTGTTGTCATGGACACCCACCATGTTGGAGATCTTCGAAATCACTGTCACGTTGACGGTGCGATTGAACCCACACCTTCGAAACTACCATGAAAAACTTTTATAAGAAGTTAGTAGCTAGTCACCCACGAGTCCGTTCTCTCATTAATGGTATCTTTCGTAAGTATGTGTGTTTGTAATTTTAATAAATACATTGCTTTTATGATGGCAGTGAAAAGATTTGCCAAGCAAGCATCCACGTCATTATTAAAATGTCTAAATTTATCAAATAAACATTAAATTAAAGGTGATGTTATTAAGATAATTTTTTATTTTTTTATATAAATTTTATATATTATTAAATAAATAAATATATTTAATATCATAAATTTCAAAGTATGTGTGTAGGTAATTTTAATAAATACATTGCTTTTATGATGGCAGTGAAAAGATTTGACAAGCAAGCATCCACGTCATTATTAAAATGTCTAAATTTACCAAATAAACATTAAATTAAAGGTGATGTTATTAAGATAATTTTTTTTATTTTATTTTTTTATATAATTTTTATTTATTATTAAATAAATAAATATATTTAATATCATAAATTTCATATAAATTAAAAAAAAAAATTTTAATAACATGCCAAATTAAAAAAATAAAAAAAATAAAATAAAATGATGTTCCCAATATCATTTTCCTTCAATTAATGGATTGCTGATTGAGGGTGATATCAAATGTTAGATTTTGGTCCATGTGTACAACTAGGAAATATAATTAGGTGATCTAACGCTGTTTCGTCCCTATTGCCCCAGTTCAGCTCTGGCTGCGGATTGGGGCATTCTTCCTCGCGGTTTTTCTGACGGTAATACCAAAGACTATGACCTCTTCTTCGTCTCCTCTCCCCCATTCCACTCAGATACAATTTCATTGGTTTCAATTCAACCTCTTCCTCCATCCATCTCTGTATCTCCTTCTACGATTCCGATTTTTGATCTTTCTACGAGGTATTCTGGGATGGTTAACACCAGCACCGATGATCATCACGAGGAGTCTGGCCCTCTATTGAGCAAGCAGGTTGAAGAAGATGGGAGCAAAAGGAGTTGCAACGACAAAGGCAAT